AAAAAAATTCTTTTGGTAAAATTTGATCAAATAATTTTTTTTAATTAGTTTTTATTGAAAAAGGCTTGGTATAATTTCTATTGAATTAAATATTTTGAAGCTGTAAAACTCCTTGTTTGTAACCCCTTAATAAAAGCGAAATCAATGAAAAATAATTATCTGCTTTTTTTTAATAACAATTTTAAAATGCAAAATTTTTTTCATGTCTCCAAAAGCATTTAATTATAGTATGTCAATCATAATAAGATCAAAATTTGTGAAAAAAATGTATTACCATTTTGTAATAAGCTTGTGAGCAATTACATTAATCAAGTTTAAATCGGATAATTTTTTCTTTAAACTACCTTCAATCATATTTGCTTCCAGCGCGTTATTTTACAGTAGAAAAAATTTTCAGTAATATAAGCGATAATTAAATATTTTAATGAAGGAATTTATATTTTATTGAAATATATTATATATTTTTTTTTTTTTTTTTTGATATGTGACTAATTAAGCAGCACACCGTTAAAGAAGGAAACCATTTAAATAGAACAAGGAGACTTTCTAGACGCTTCATTTTCACCATTTCATTTTCTTTTATTTAAAATTTTTCCAGTTAAATAACTGCAAGCCAAGACAGTCAGATTAAAAACTTGAACATCTCAAACACCTTTAGCAGAGTTGCTGACAAAATTATTTCAAATTATTCACACTGCAATCCAATGAAGCACTAAACAGAAACTTTTTGCTCTTGTGGAAAATTCAAGTCAAAACATTCACACCGACACCCTTTTCTGACATAAAAAGACCCCAATTACATGAAGAAAGCTAAAAGTCTTTGTTAAGTCGCAAAATTTGTGACAAAAACTGAAAAAAGAAAAGATTTAATCTCGGATATTAAATACTACCGAAGCGACTAAATCAAGCAGACACTTAGTTTGGATTCCTCCTATTATGGCTGTAAATACATACGTGTATGTACTTAAAATACCCCAAATGCGGGTGTGTGACGTCGGGGGAGAAATCTTCATGAAATCAATAATTTTCCGCTTATTTTACACGAATTATTTTTAACCCCACTTCTCATTGTCTGAGTAGTAAATTCAAGTCTGCAAGCTTTTTGCAGTTTTATTTCAATAAAAAAGGAAAGAAAGTAAAGTAAAAAAAAGTGTAACAAACGGAACAAGGACAAGACGCGCATTTTTTGTATGACATTATTGGCATGAGGTTAATTGAACGGAAAAAGGGCGTGACTGTTTGTAAAAAAAAAAAGAATAGCACAAATTGCGAAAATTTCCAGTTTTTGCTCCTGAAGAAAAAGTTAAACATTCAATGAATTCTAATTTAAGAAATTTGTATTAGCTTACAGGCAGAAATATCAATTATTGAGCACACATTCATACTATTTATGCTATTTGTATGCGCGTAGAAATTTCTGAAACGGAACTATGAATTTTCATGCTGGAAGGAAAACTAAAACTAAGTAGGGGAAAATATTTTAGGTATTGGTATAAAACATGCATGAACTTATATTTATTGTTAGATATTGACATATTTTATAATGTTTTAAATTAGAATTTTTTAAACTATATTATTGTTTTTCTATTAATGGGTTTTGATGTTATGTTACTTTTTAGGTTTGTTTAATTATTTATTTATTTTTGTTTTTTTATTTTCTTTTAATTTCTTTTTTATTTAGTTTTTATTCATTTTTTATAAATTTCGGTTTTTTATTAATTTATTTTTTATTATTTATTCATTTAATTTAGCTTTTTTTATTAATTTATTTTTTTTTATTATTTTATTCACTTAATTTCTTTTGATTAATTTTTTTGGCAATTTTTTTGTTTCATTTTATTTATTCTTTTACGAATTTTTTATTTATTTATTTTGTTTTAATAAATGAGAATTATTTTTTATTTATTTATTTTGTGTTTATTTATTATTCTTATTTTATAACACTTTTTTGTTTGATATTTTTTTTACATTTATTTATTTTTATTTATTTATTTTTTTATTAATTTTCTTTTTTTTATTTCATTTATTTATTTATTTGATTTGTTTTTTTAATTTGTTTGTTTCATTTTATTTATTCTTTTACTTATTTTGTTTATTTATTAATTTCGTTTTTCTTATTTATTTCGTTTTTTCTTATTTATTTTGTTTTTCTTATTTATTTCGTTTTTTCTTCTTTATTTTGTTTTTTTTTTTCATTTACATTGTTTTTTAATTATTATTTTATTTTAATTGAATTTTTTCTTATTTTAATTAAATTATTTTTTGATTTTAATTTAACCACTTTCTATTTTAATATAACTCAATTTAACTGAATTTAATTTTAGTTTGTTTATACCAGCTGGTTATTCTAATTTACTTTACTTTACTTTATTTTAGTATATTTTTTTATTGATTGTTATATTTTTTCATTTTTTATTCATTATTTCTTTTTATTTCTGTACATTTTCGTAATTTTGGTATATTTTAATTTATTTGATTCACATAAGTATTTAGAATATTTTTTGTTATTTTTTATCTTATTTTTTTTTATAACGCTTTTTTGTTATATTTTAATTTAATTTAATACTATACATTTTATTTTTGTTTGATTTTTTTTTTATTTATTTATTTTTATTAATTTTTTTATTATTTGTTTTTTTTTTTGTATTAATTTTGCTTTTTTAATTTATTTATTTTTTATTGTTTCCTTTTATTATCATAATATTTATGTTGTTTTTTAATTATTTTTTTTTAAATTAAATTTTTTAGCTAAATTTAATTTTGATTGGTTTATATCAGTTGATTATTCTATTTTGTTTTACTTTATTTTATTATATTCTTTATTGATTGTTATACTGTTATATTTTTTTTTATTTATTATTTATTGTTATTTCTATACTTTTTTGTAATTTTGCTTATTTTATTTATTTTATTCAGAAAAATTTGCATTATTATTTTGTATTCAATTTATAATTTTTTTTTCATTTCTGTTCTTCTTTTTATCTTAACATTTTTTTTTGTTATATTTTAATTTAATACTACACATTTTATTTTAGTTTTATAATTTATTTATTTTCATGTACTTTACTTTACTTTTTTATTTTGTTATTTTAATTGGCTACGGTTTTGGATTTTTATATTTTATTTTAAAATAATGCGTTTTATAATAACTGAATTTCTCCGTTTTATTGCACATAAATATATAAATAAAAATTAACACTAATTTAAATTATGTAATTTTTTTTTTATTTAACTTTATACTGATTTATTTCTCCTAACTATCTATTTAATTTATTTTATTTCTTTTTTTGTTTGCATTAATTGCATTTCATTATTTTTAAAGTCATTGTGTTTTTAAAGTATTATTATATTCTCCTAATTAATTTAATTAATTTATTTTATATTATTATTAAACAATAACTAAATATCTACTTTTATTAAATTATATTTTATTACATTTATTTTCATTACATTCTATTTTATATTATATTATTAAATTTTTATTTAATTTCTTTAATATTGCAAAATTTTAAATTATTTTAACACGCGTATGTTGAAAGCTTTGGTCAGAGCAGTTGCAATTGTTGCGCTGTTGTTGTTGCAATGATTTGCTCAACCCCGCCTAGCGGTCAAAAATTAGCATAGCTCGTTGATATCATGTAAATGAGAGATCCAGGAAGCGTCGGATTCGGATCAGAGGGAGATGGGTGTTAGATGATTTACATTCTAAGGCGCGCTGAGAGGTAGTTGAATGACGTGTGGGGCATCGTTGCATGCTTTGTAAACGTTAGATTTATATACATATATATATATTTTTTTTTGCGGTTTATAACCGCCGAAGCGATTTTCGGCCGAACTTCTCTTGCAATTTTTGTGTGACGTTTTCCCAACAAATGGAGGAATCTACAGTTTATGCTAAGTCGCGCCCGAACGGCTGATGGTTTTTAAGAGGAGGCTTTATTTCATGTCACAAGTACACTCGGAGGGGTTGGTATTCCCTGCCGAGGGTTGACCGCAATTAGAGAATTTAACTAAATTTTTAATTTAAATCAATTTTCTATAATTATGGATGTTGGTCGAACCATTTTAAAATTAAATAAAATCAATTTATTTTAATTTTTTTATATGGTTGTATAAATAAGCCGTTTATTTCTTTTCTAAATTATTTTTACTTAATTTTTATTCAATTTCATTTATAATAATTTTATTTTATATTATTTTAGTTAAATTTAATTTAGTTTTCTTATATTTGTTTTTGTATTAATAACTTTTTCGTTGTTAAATTTATTAATTTTATAACAATTAAATTCAATTTAATTTTGGTCTATAAATCTTTTACCTTTTCATTTAGTTAGTTTAATTTAATTTTTTTTTCTTTTTCGTTAAATTATATTTTTTATTTAATTTTCATATTAAATTTATATTATCATTTATTTAAACCACCTGTTGGCAACAGAACTTGCTAATTAGTATAACAACATTTTTAGAAACGTTTTAAATTAAAAGTAAATAAATGCGTACATACTCTCCCATACATATATGTACATATGCTCTTTTTTAAAGTATGATGAATTTACTTTCCTATAAGACAACAACAAAAACTCGAAAACTAAGTCAATTGTGAAATTGCATACCATACCAATTGCAAAATGCAAAATTTTTCAAAAGCAAAGATTGCATACATTTTTTTTTCATTTCCGAGTAACTAGCTTGCTTTTGCTTTTCCTGTGCAAGGTGTGATGGGGGAAAATAACCTATTAAATAAAGTGTTTTGCAAACAGCATCTTCCAAAGCAATTTATTTCCACTTTAAAGTCGAATTTATTTGCATAAATAAATTTATTTGCATACTCGAGGGACGACTAACAAACGTTCGTTTTATTATTGCTGAGAAAATAGAAATAAAGATTATTATTTTATGTTTTTTGTAAAATGTAATGATATTTTTCGTAAATATGGAATTATGAAATGATGCAAAATTTATAATTATTCTCACAGAGAATTTAAAAATGCATCATTTTTTAAACGCCTTGTACACAAGGGAATGGATAATTTATTTATTATGATATAGCGAACTTTAGTTCATTCCGCCGTACAATGCAATGGAATGGTCGCAGAATTCGGCAACAGCTGACGCATTCGTAATATTGAGTGTTTTTTTCAATAAAAAAAAACAATTTTCCTGAAGATTTTCATTGTTTATATTTTATGTAAATATTTAATATTGCGTAGAGATGCCCGCCACTTCAACACGATTAATTGAATGAACAAAGAATGCATAAATTTAAAAAAATAAGTGCCTTTGACAAAAACAGATTAACATTAAGCTGAAATAAACTACAAACATACATATTGAACATTGGATAAACTGGGTTAACCTTAAAGTCTAGCAAATTTCATATACCTTATAATCTCAATAACAATATAAGAAGTTTGTGTAAATTTGAAAATTTTGTAATTGGCGCCTAAAAGTATGCTTGCGGTTATGTTAGATCGTGTGTGTTAGAAAGTGTATACAAATTATTTACAACGCATTTAAGGAAACCGATTTTCACATGTTTTCTATGTACATACATATGTAAAATGTATGTAAAAAACTTTCACTTTGATTCATGAATATTGGAAATTTGCTAATTATCTAACCATCTCTCTACCTCTCACTTTCATTTTCTCTCTCTCCTTTCCTTAATTACAGCACATTATGCTTTATATGAACTACTATGACACATTTGTGGTTTTCGCTTTGCCATTTTTGACAATCTCTGTTTTGAACACAATTACCGGTTGTCGGGTATGGAAATTTGCTACCGTGCGGCGTTCGCTGACAATGCAAAAAAGGTAATTCACAAGTACAAAATATGATGGTAGTGAATGTAAGAATTTTTAATTTCAAATTAATTATCTGTGAACACCCAGAATAGTTAAGTGTGAGCGGATCCTTTGTGAGTAATTATGGCGCAGAGTTGAAATGTGTCATTGTAATTTTGCCCCATACCAGTTTGGTGTGCTTATTGAGGGAAATATGAAATTCCATTTCAATCCCATAACTTCCTACCTACAATTGGGATTCTAAAATTAGGTAGATTTACTAGAAGATAAAAATTTTATCAGTTTAAATTAATATTATTTTTTTAATTTTAACATACATTTTTTATACAAAAATAATTTGAGTTCAAGTTTGAGCTTGTTTTCGACACGACTAGACATTCAACTTATCAATATTCTTTCATTCTCAGAAAAACAAATCGCTTATCGAGAGATGTTTCATCCAAATTTCTGTCCGCTTCGTTGAAGCGTCAAAAATCAACTTCTTCATACTCAACGGCAGAAAATATTACTAGGGATATTGAAGTTAGAGTTATCAGGCGAAAATCACGTAAGTAACATTAAAATAAACATTAAATTAAATTAACGAAAATTCCAAATGAGAGAAAGTATTTTTATTTTTTATTTTTTGCTAATTTTAAAATATTTTTTACTTATTGAAGTAGATTAAGATTCTTTCTATTAGTTGATTTTTGTTAAGGTAGTAAGTTCATTGCAATTATTATGGATTAGTATTTGGTCCGCTAAATGGACATTTGTAGCCCGAGCGAATGCGCGCTATCAGTTTCAAACTCTTGAAGTAAAACATTGCCTACATTTAGGATGATATTATGTATTTGATCGGGTCAAAATCAGTCAACATTTAAAATAGTTGGAAACTGTTATATGTAAGCTTTCAGTTTCAAACTCTGATAGTAAAGCGTTGCCTATATTAAGGACGATGTACCAGCAATCACTAGAAGCGCTATAAGAACTCCGCTACATCGGAAACAGGAATAAATTACTGATTTGTTAGTTTCAACACGAGTGCACCGCTGATGCGAAATGTGGCGGTAACACCAGAAAAAGTGAATTTGCGCGAGTTAGCTGGCTAAGTAAAATTCTCGAAAGTACGTGGCTTCATACTGTACGAGCATTTGGTCATTGCTTTCAAATTAGCGGCGAAGCTTATAGCCTTATAAGGCAACGAGATTCGAAATGTTTCCTGAAGCCAGCTCAGCGAGACAGTTGAAGAAGTGTTTCCCAAGAAACTTCTATCGGGAGGGTTTCAAGGCTGGACAGTGGTAGAGGTAGTGCTCGATAGTCTCTTCCTCTTCTTCGTCCCTATAGCCGCGGCAGAAATCGGTAGAGTAATAGCCCATCCTTTCCCAAGATGGCCCATTAAAGAGTCTCCAGTTGTTATACCAGCGTTACGTTAATGGAGAACCGGTCCAGAAGGAAAGATAAGATGTTTTGATTTTTTCGCGTCCAACTTTGTTCAATCGTGAGTCAGCTTCCCTTGTGAAACCCAGTTTAAGCATGTACTTAGCCGTGGATAGAGGTAACCAGCATCAAGGGCTTGTTTTATCGTAGATAGAAGGATACCTTCCCCTTGCCAGTTCATCTGCCATGCAATTGTACCCAGACCAGGGCAGTACTGTACTTCGTTGAGAGTTTGCTAAGAGTGTTTCTACGATATATGGCCATTTTTGACGTGGACTGGCATCGATAAGTGAAAATGTATAGAACATATAGCCATTACAACACTCCAAAATCTGTAACGATCGTCAACGAACAAATGACGAATCCCACTAGATGACCTCGGCGACTTAGAGTAATCAAACCTGTACCTAAGCGGGGTTAGCTGACGAACCTCGTCTTATTCTTCATCTTTATTGGCGCTTACGCGATTATAGCCGAATCAATTATAGCGCGCCACTCATCCCTTTGTTTCACTGTTTGGCGCCAGTTGGAAATACTAAGTGAAACCAGGTCGCTATCTCTCTAACTCTTCCAACAGAGTAAAGGTCATCCTCGTTTTCTGCTTCCACCAGCGCATACCGCATTGAATTTTTTCAAAGTGGAGTGCCTTCCACCATTCGGGCGACACGACCATCATATAACTCATGCAGCCCATCGCTCCATCGTTTGCGGTATTCGGCATTGCCATAGCGCAAATACCATAAATTGTTGGCAAAACTTTCCTCTCAAAGACTCCCAAAGTCGACTTCCCAGATGTCGATATTGGCAACGCTTCTGCGTCACGGATGGGAGAGCCCCCCTTTTTCTTTTTTTTATGGCTTGATGACGAATGTTAGAGTGCATTTGATGGATACGCATGACAAATGTTAACAGAATATGAAAATAGGCTTAAAATAAAGAATTACGTATTTTAGCGTTTTGCTGCAGTACGCCAGAATTTTGGGCATATCGATTTTTAAGTTTCAAAGTGCAAAAGGCGAACATTTTTAGTAGGTATATAAGCCGCAAACAAAATAGAAATGATTTCCGCGCTGAATATTTTTTAGCACTGTTTTTGTTAAGTTGGCAGCACTGCCCTTGATTACTATGCCAAAAATGAGCGAGTTTTGTCTAACGAGTTTGTTTGCTGCAGCTGTTGAAATCAGTCGATCACAGTTCCCACTGCGAATTTTCTTTTACGGCCCCAATCAAGCCGAAACGTGCTCGGCACGGAGTGGTAACCGAGTTTTGGAAACAATAAAAAGTCGCATGGGGCCAAATCCGGTGTAAACGGCGGTTGATCGATGGTATTGAACGACTTTGCGGTCTTAAAATCATTCACAACTACCGCTCGGTGCAAAAGCGCATTATCGTCATGAAAGATAACGGAATTTGACGGCCCACAATTCCGGCCGTTTACGCCGCATGTTTCGGATGAAAATATTCTACAGCTTGATCTTTCACTACACTTTGCTAGTTTATTTTTAGTTTACTATTGCAATTATCAGGTGTACAACTTTGCTTCCGCCGTTTTCCGATAGGTGGCTGTACCGGCTGAGGCTGGTTGAAATACATAGATGATAATGCCTTTACAGAGAGTGTGGACAGTGCCTAAGGAATTGTCATCGCCGTTTCAGTGACAGTTGTTCTTGCTTTCGTATTATTCACGCTCGAAAATGTCCGTTTGCGGGAAGTTTTACTTTTCTGTTACAATTCGAAAAAAAAATGCAGCTGAAGCGCATCGAATGCTCTCAGAAACTTACGGTAATGCTGCTCTGAGTGAAAGAACGTGTCGGGAGTGGGTTGGTCGTGGTTTGGTTGGTCGAAGACAAACATGGTTATGATTTGTATTTGGTGGGATCAGCTCGGTGTGATTCACTACGAGCTCTAAAAACCGGGTGAAAGCATCACAGGAGATCGATACCGAACGCAACTGATGCGCCTTAGTCGCGCGCTAAAAGAAAAGCGGCCACAATATCAAGAGCGACATGACAAAGTCATCCTCCAACACGACTATGCTCGGCCTCACGTCGCAAAAGTGGCCAAAAAGTACCTGGAAACGCTGAAATGGGAAATCTTGCCCCACCCGCCGTATTCCCCAGATGTCGCCCCTTCTGACTTCCACCTATTCCGTTCGATGGCACACGGCATGGCAGATTAACATTTTCAATCTTTCGAAGAATTAGAAAAATGGATTGCTTCATGGATAGCGTCAAAAGAGGACTCCTTTTTTCGAACCGGGATCCGAAAATTGCTGGAAAGATGGAAGAAAGGACAATAATATATCTGTAAGCACTTTTTCGCAATGAAGCTTTTAATTTTAGAAAAAAAACGGCGGAAGCAAAGTTGTACACCTGATAAGTTATTATTTTTTATACATTTTTAGTGGACTATATATTGTTAAATTACTGGGGGTGGATGTTACAGAGTTTGAGTCTACATATGCGAGTGTGTGTGCTTGTCCCTAGGCTCTGTTGCGCCTTCGTCTAATGAATGCCGCGGAAGCATTTGAATGTGAATTAAATCAAACTTGGCCCAAACAATATGGTTCATATAAAAATGTTATTAAAAATATGCTTAGTAATTTAATTTAATTTAATTCGTTTAATTTGAAAAGTAATGATTGAAATATTAATAAAATAATAGTATTATAATAGAGGTGAGCCTTCACGGTTCTTTCAAGCTTAAAGCCCGATTTTCATATGCTATAAACATTTCTTATGTGTACCAACCACTGTCGTTCTGTTTTATTAAAATTTTTATTGGAGCGTTTGAAGGGAAAAATAGAATAAAAAACAAACGACAGCGTAAGGTACGAAAGAAAATATTTTTATTATCAAGAAAACATCGTCTCACGAGTCCCTTAAAAACATGGGCAAATTAAATCAGTTCAACTTTGAATTGCTCACAGCGACTACTTGCTGTTCAATTGACGCTTATTTTGATACAAAAGATAAATCGTATTGCAAGTATAGGCTTTGAAATTCTACTTAACCGCACAGGAATCGCTCAAATAATAAATTCTACAACATTTTCAGAAAACGCTTCTGTTCTCGGTTTTGTCAGCACTTTCTCAACAATAAGCCGAGAGAAGGATAAGTAAGGAATAATGTAGCAGTACTAGATCAAAAAAATCCGTAGCCATCTCAGGCTACAGCTCGAAACTCGGCAGCAAAATAATTTGTTGAACCATTTTTTTAGTAATAAAATTGCACGACTTTCAAACACTGTTCCGTGATAAATCTATTATCATTATGGAAAAATAGCATACTAAACTCAGTATAAATCAAGTAACAGCTTTTAAAATGGCCAACACCGACAAAACTAAAGTTTAAAATGCCTAAAACCCTAACTGAAACTGAAGACGCAGCATAGCTAGTTATGATTATTTTGATAAATTCAGTAAAGGCTGAAGCCATGCGCCACAAAACGCCTGTGGGTATGCAATCGGAATTTTATCTGCGCTAATGAGTTTTTGTGTTTTTCTCCAGTATTAACTCAAATGAAGTAAAATTTTACGATTTTCATGCTGAGCTTCGAAATTGAAAATTTCATTTAAAAAAATTAATTCATTAAAAATATAATTATTTTGTTTATTTCTTTGTGATGCACAGAAATAAAAAATAATGTTTGGCATTTTATTACTTTTTCTGCGGTTAATTAATTACCAAAACAGTAAACGATCAATTAATGAACGCATCATTTAAGACTCTTTAGAAAATTAATCATAAAAAATCTCAGTAAAAAAGCAGTAAATAGCATAAACAACAAATTTGTTCAATACAATTTTTTGGCGAAATAATCGAATATAAAAGCATATTATTTTGCGTAATTTTCATTTAGTTATATATGTGAGTGTGTGTGCATTTTATGCAGAATATAAAATTAATACTGGCCACCTACATATGTATATGTATGTGGCAAACAGATAAAGCATGAACCCATGCATGTTGACAATTCGGTAAATACGCTTCAGTTATGAGCGCACAAATAGAAATTGACAGAAAAAAAATCAAAAAAAAAAAAACGAATTGGAAACGAATAATGTGTAGACATATGTACAGACATAGATAGACAAGGAAGTTGCCCACACCAAAAATATTGCATACATACACGCTCAAACATGGATATGATTCAACTGTATTGAGTTGGAAAATGGCATTTCAAATCAATGCTTTGTGACGCTTTACTGTCCATCTTCATTCCCTATGTGTACAAGTGCAAGTGTCTATGTGCGTATTTGAGATAATAGAGCATTGCATAACAGAGTTGTGGTTAGATTTGTTCTTGAAGAGGAGAAGCGAGGGTTCGGCAACATAGTTATTCATTGAAAAAAAGAAAAATCTATATAAAAAAAAATATTAAATAAAAATAATAATTAGTTAGTTAATTAGTCAATTTAAGATTACTAAATATATAAAAGCAATTTAAAATAATTTAAAACAAAATAAAACAAAAAAAAAACACAGAGTAGAATAAAAAAAAAATATTAAAAAAAATTATTTCCAAATATATGTAATTAAGAAAAAAATATTTAATTAAAAAAAGAAATAAACTAAAAAATAAATATTTAATTAAATAATATTAAATTTTAAATTATTACAAATATGCCTGTGTCTTCTATTTACAAAATAAATAATTTTAAAAATTTATTTGCATGAAATGTTATTAAATCAATTTACATATAATATTTCTTAACACACGATTTTCCAACAATTTTTCTAACCCACAGAAAATTCCAAAGTTTCCAATTCATCACAATTGAAAGTAACCAAAATGTTATTAATTGTCTCCAGCGTATTTGTATGCCTCAATTTGCCTAGCTGTGCGATGCGTATTAAAACGTATTTGGAGGTAAGTAACTGCTCATCATAAAATACATACAAACACATAATGTGAAAATGAATACAACAGAACCATTACAAATGCAATCAGGTAATTTATGGTCATACATCCTTTAATAATGGCATAGCTATAAATGTCAAGAGTGTTTCACACAATAAGCCTACACTACCCACACATATATATTTCTATGCCCACATATTATGTACGTACATATGTATATATGAAACTATGTAAGTAAGTATACGCCTTCCTTATAAAAGTGTATTCTGCGATTTGTCATCAATGTAACGGCAGGCACATCAAAGAAGTCTAATTAAGGCAGCCAACAACCCGATAATAATCACACCGCACACATACACATACATAATTTTCCACACAAAAATCCAGCATGTATGTATAGTATATAGTACATACGCACATTGATATTGTGACTATGCGGCAGTCATTTACTTAAGGTAATCCGATTTGGAGGCGTATGCGCTATGGGGCTATGCATTGTTTGGTGTTTCTCCTAAGAATAGCGAAAAGGAAGAAGGAAGTGAAAAGTACTATTCCTTTGTACGAATTAAACAAAATATATTCAGCGTACGTGTGTGTTACAAACCGCTGAAGCAATTTTCGGTTGGATTTTGCGTATTGATGCTTGTACTAAGCCGCATCCGAATGGGTGATGGTTTTCTTATGAGGAGCTTTGTTTCATGTCAAAAATACACTCGGAGGTGTTGACATTCCCTGGCGAGAGGCGACCGCAATTAGAAAACTTAACTTAATTTTTATTTAAATTAATTTTCTATAACTTTTTGGATGCTAGTACGACACGGGGGTTTGAAACCGAGCTACCGCGGCCGAAGCCAATATTCGAAAACTCAATTAAAAAATTTAAATAAACTATTTATTATTTGAAATGAAAATTTTTAAATTGCGAGAAGTAATTAAAGCAAGTTAAATATAAAAAAAATTATAATTACAAATAAATAAAATTATATAAATAAATAATATAATAAAGCACAAGGGGCTAAAAAAGATAAATGTAAGAAAACAAAATAATATTCTAAAATCCTAAGAAATATGTAAACTAAAAACCATAAAAACAAAAAAAATTCAAATAAAAATATAAAAATAAAAATATATATAATATAATACAATAATAATAAATAACAAAAACAAAATAGAATATAACTAAATAAAAATAAAATAAAATGTATCTTCAAAAAAAAATAAATAAAATTTAGAGAAATAAAGTAAAAAAAAAACATAACATCAAAAATAAAATAAAATAAAATAAAACCAAATACAATCAAATATAAAATAAAATTTATATATAAAACAAATATAAAAAGTGAAAAAGAAACATATCTACAATTAAATTTAAAATAATTGCTTTTAATAACATAAAGTAAAACAAATTATAATGAAGAAAAGTAAATCGTAAAATGAAAAAAATAAAAATATATAGTAAATGAAAGTAAGATATTTAAAATAAAAAAAAAAAAATAAAAAAAAATTAATTAAATTAAATTAAATGATTTTATATAAAATTAGATGACACAAATTATAATAAATTAAATCAATAAAAACAGGTTAATGAAAAATAAAATAAAACAAAACACATAACATTTAACATAATAAAATGAATACTAAGAGATAAGAAATAAAATAAAATACATAAAGTAAAATTAAACCAAATAAAACAAACAAAAATTCAATTGAATATAATTTAACTAATAAATAAAGCAAAAATGAAATAAAATGAATCTTAAGAAACTAATATTAAAAAAAAATAAGAAAAGGTAAAATCAAATAAATAAAAAAAAATAAATTTAATTTGAATAAAAAACTCAATTAAAACGTAATAAAATTAATTAAAGGTTAAAATTTAATAAATATAATATTTAAAAACAAATAAGTTAAATCAATTTAAGATTACCAAATAAATAAAAGTTGATTATAGTAATTTTAAATAATTTAAAACAAAAAAAAAATAAAAAATAAAGTAAAATAAAACCAAATAAAACAAACAAAAATTCAATTCAATTTAATTTAACTAATAAATAAAGCAAAAATTAAATTAAACAAATCTTAAGAAACTAAAATTAAAGATAAATAAGAAAAGTTAAATCAAACAAAAAAACAAATAAATTTGATTTAAACAAAAAACTCAATTAAAAGGTAATAAAATTAATTAAAGATTAACATTTAATAAAATAAAATAAATAATATATAATAATATAATAAAATTACCAACAAACAAAAAATAGTTATACTAATTTAAAATAAATCAAAAGAAAACAAAAACAAAATAAATAAAAAAAAATAAAGAACAAAGTAGAATAAAATAAAAAACAAAGTAATAAAAAACCAAATAAAAAAACAAAATTTCAATTGAATTTAATTTAACTAATTATTAATAAAGCAAAAATAAAATTAAATAAATCTTAAGAAACTAAAATTAAAACTAAATAAGAAAAGAGAAATCTAATAAATAAAGTGAATAAATTAAATATGAATAAAAAAAACTCATTAAAATGTAATAAAATTTATTAAAAGTTAAGATTCAATATAATAAAATAAGAACTATATATAAAAATATAATAAGATTACCAAATAAATAAAAACTAGTCATAGTAATTTAAAAAAAATTAAAACAAAATAAAAAAATAAATAAATAAAAGAAAATAAAAAACGAAGTAAAATAAAATTAAAAAAATAAAAGACAAAGTAAAATAAAACCCAATACAACAAACATAAATACAATTAAGTAAATGAAGTAAATTAAATTGCAATAAAGTAAGACAAAATTAAACTTAACAAAATAAAATAAAATAGAAAACAAATTTTCGATGAGTTTCCTTTTGTTTTCCAACATGCGGAGGGATCTACTCTAAGACACCTCTGAAAGGTCGATGAATTTTTACGAGGAGCTTTTATTTTACTTCGCGACATTTATACACTCGAGCTTGACATGCTCTGCCCAAGGAGCTACTGCGATTAGAACAAGAAGCGCGGTCTTCGGCCATGCCGAAGTATTTATACCTTTCATGACCATATTAATTTCAGGAATTTACTCCTTTGAAAGATTTGTGATCCAAAATCTTAAATCTGAAAAATATAAATATATATGCTATGGCTCGTTAAAATGTAATGCACTCGTGAAACAAGTGTGGTTTAAATACTTCAAAAAATGGGGCGAACTAGTCACTTACGAACAGATGGAAGTGGCTAAATCAACTCGTCATTCTGATTATTTTGATATACCTTTTTATGGGTCTATCTCTTTTTAATCTGGTACATCCATAACTCGAACCAAAGTTAATATACCATTTCATGTACAAAAGCGGTATGATAGATAAAATAAGAGAAAATAAATTAAAATTAAAGCAAATAACCTGTACTTCCGTTTAGTACGCACAGCTAATAACCCGGTTATGGCGGCCACCAGCTGAGATTTGAAATTAATCGGTCATTGTGAAAACCCATACCATTCAAGAGTAATAAATTTCTGAAAATACCTACAACAGCTAAAAAGAATTTTGATTTTTTTTCTTCATAAATTCTAATTTTAAAAACTTTATGGAGTGAGTAACCGCAATTTAAAATCAGTAAAAGTTTAATTTGGTCCGTTTTTATGTATGTATGTAAAAATTAGTAAGAAGACCTAAAATATTTTCTCTCAACTTTTAATAAATTATAATAACATAAACTAGTAGGAGAAACTTTTGGTAGTCTTTTTTTCCTTTTAATACGTGAATAATTAGGTATAATAATACGGATTCTTTCAGAGTCATTCTCCCACTCGCACTAAAAAACTAATTTAGTACAGAAGGAAAATTATATTAAAGAAAAAAATGATTTGTTTCCATCAAATTTCCGTGGCTTCCCCCAAACTACAATACCAAATAGATTTATTGTACTATAATTTTTGCCAATTCATCTCATATAAAGGAATCAAAGGGAAGTCATTTCCGTAGGAATCCCTTATACAATATTAATAAAAAAGAAAATAAAAAAAAAAAGAAGTTGAATGAAGTAATATATGAGCGGAAGGTTTGATATTCTTGTTAATAATGTTACTCACTTATAATGATTGCTTTTACATATTTACAGCAAATTATTTAGCATTATTCTTTATATGAGTATACATAGTATGTATGTATATTTAAACATTTAACATTATTTCTATAGAAGAAGAAGAAGAATCGCACACAAGACATTGAAGCTGACCAAATAAGATTAAATATTCAATTTCTTATTTATGTATATATGTATGTATGCAACACTTTATTGGTTTTGAAAATTTTTGACAAGTATTTGAGAAGTTTGGAAGAAACTTATTAATGGATGTGTAAACAACACCCGGCTGTAATACAGCTGCGCTCATATTCTAAATATATATATGTATATATGTCTAGATAAGTTTTGATATGAAAGGTCAAATAAATGATCAAAGTTCAAAGGTAACTACACGAAGCAACTTCCTTTTGCGTATGCATGAGTATGAGTATAAGTATGAGTATATGTATGTATGTCAATGTGTTGCGGTTTCAAAGCTTTTGTAGGCTTTAACACACGCCTTCAACTACTTTTGTCACAACTTTGCAATAAACTAAACCAACAAAGCGCACAAAAAACCCGTGCACATGTAGGTATGTATATGTGCCTATCAGTTTCAGGAAAACACAAATACGAGTAAAACTTAAAACATAAAAGGACTTTTTTTTAATATGCATAAGTGATGTGATAAAGAGCTTTACGCTATTCGGACATTTGCATAGGTGGCTAGAGTTGGTGTATATATAAGAAAAAAAAAACTAACAAATTTGGAGAGTATGTCGTGGGTAGCCGCCTTGAATACCTTAAATTTTAAGCAATATTTGCAAATTATCTATTATTATTATCTATTGGGTTGCCGCAAAAGAAATCGGCGATTTTTCATACAGACGGCGTTGACAATTATTTTTGAACAGCTTGTGACTATTTAATTGTATTTTTTTCTTTTGAGAGTTATAAGC